AAACATGAACAAGTAAGATGAAAAAAAAAAAAAATACTCGGGATTGAATGGTATTTGAAACCTGACCCTCTGAGTGGCAGTTGAGCATTCTACTACACGACCACAGTGGTGCTGTAAGGTCAATTGCCAAAAGACCCTACACAGGCCATTCGCCCATGTAATATAGCATGGCAGAAGAGTAGAATAACAACCAGTCATCACACAATTCTAATAGTGCAACATGTGTGTGGTTTAATGCCTCCAACCCACTGCAAAGCACTCAATCATAATTCATCATCATCAGCCACATGCATCAAGAAAGTGCAAAAAATGCCTCACAGATGTCTAGCGGGTACCTTGCTCATCCACGGAAAGACAAATAATGGCGTAGTTGGTGCTGACCTACTAGAAAAAAAATTATTTACACCGTTTTTGGCTTTCTGCAGAAAGCGAGAACATTAAACACAGTTGGCCTTGTCCAAACACAATGCTGCACTCACAGTTAAGCAAGAATGTAATCATTGACTAATCTTTTTTGTGCATAGCTAAATTGTATTTCCTTGTGTGTGAATTCATTTTCCTGAAGACTAAAATAACATGACCAAAATTCTCAACCGACATTTCCCATTCTGACTGCTACTTCTATCTGGCCTCTGAACATCACTATTACTTGTGAAATATAAAAGGAAATAGCACATATGACAGATCCAATTCTAGCAATTAAAAATTTAGCCTCTAGATGGTATAATTTGGCATAGGAGCTGATTAGATTACTATATGCCATGCAAGAAGAATGAGCAAGCTGCTTGCCACAATACATATATGAATGGCTTGTATACCACGTGCCCCATATGCACTACATAACAGCCAATTTGCTGTACCACAACCCTGTACTGCAGTCAAGCATGCTAATAACAGAAAGAACTACTTCGCGTGCAGTAAATCTTGCTACTTGGTGCTCAAGTTCCTTGCATTGAATTGCCACTCCAGTGAACAAAACTACTTTTGCATTCAGCATATCCCGGTTGCCCCGCCACGTTGGTCTAGTGGCTAAAGTACTCGGCTGCTGACCCGCAGGTCGCGGGATCGAATCCCGGCTGCGGCGGCTGCATTTCCGGTGGATGCGGAAATGTTGTAGGCCCGTGTGCTCAGATTTGGGTGCACGTTAAAGAACCCCAGGTGGTAGAAAGTTCCGGAGCCCTCCACTACGGCGTCTCTCATAAGCATATGGTAGTTTTGGGACGTTAAACCCCACATATCAATCAAGCATAACCCGATTAACTTGTTTATTCATTTGTGCAAGCATGCATGCATGAGTATACATAAATATATTATGGTACCAGTCAACAAGCATTAAAAATTGACAGTAGTGCTCAGTCAATGCACATCCTTATGAAGACTCTTCCATGCTGGATACATTCCATTCTGAGCACTGCATTTTTGGCATGGCATTTACATTACAACAATGTTTTCCCACTGTAATGCAAGATGCTAAAATACTAAGGTCACATCAGGAAATAATAGTGAGTCAAGCTTTTCTTTTGGTAAACGTTTACTTACTTATAGTTAAGTAAACTTGCATTGGCTAAAGCAGCACGAGTACTACTGAGACCACTGAAAAGCAGACTTAAGCCACTTACATAAGGCCCACATTTATTTTCTGTTGCATCTTGTACACAATGCCACATTCATTATATAGAAATGTGGGCATTACTTTTGGATTAAATGCATGTACAAACAAGTTTACGGGCATGGTGTTTTGTGAGTGAGTGACACAGCTGCGAGGTGGCCTGTACAGCACTTACAGCAAGGGAAAGTTAAAATGGCTGCATTAGGCAGATTGTGAGGTTTTTAGTGACAATCATCAGGGCATCACAGCTGTTTGTCAAAACTATGTTAAGCACTATGCTTCCATACAAGCAATGTTGATGCAAGAAATTTCGTTAAAAGGGTATTGGCACGAAAAACTTCACGGCGAAGTTAGCCTGCGGGACTAATCACAGTGAATATGCATATATCAACAGCAAAATATCAACAGTGAAGTAAGCTTGAAAGGTATTTTACACGAATTTTGAAGTTTGGTTGCATGATTAAGCACCGCCCCTTCAAAAGTGACCCATCGTGACTCCCCGACTTCCCTCACGTCACCAATCTTCAGACAACACAACAAGTAATGACGATGCGATAGCTGCCGTTTTTCTTTTCGCCGTGTTTGCTCCAGCAGACTATTACTCGGTAGCTGCTCGCAAGTTCCTGAATGCTGTGCACGCATTGAAAAATTGGTGTTTGGCAACACTGCTGCCCCATTTCCTGCTCAAATGGACTTCTTGATGCATACCATGTGGAAGTGCACCACAGTTCTGAGTGTTGACCTGGTCGAGTGTTGCACCTGCTAGGTGGCGACAGTTACACTCGGCAGATTGACACTTTCGAAACTCTCTCAAACTGAATCCAAGAGTGGTCAGTAATGAGGCAAATCGCTTGTCGAGCGTCAGGTGTGTATTTGAACTTTTCAGGTAACTTCTAAGGCAGTCCAAAGACACTGCGCACTTTTATATTCACACTTAAGTCTTCAGAATGCACTAGTTCGAACACTTTAAGCTCATAGCTTCGTTGCACCTTGTGTTTGGTGTGCTTGTCGATAAGCTTAGAAGTTGGGGGCAAAGAAGGTTTTCAGCAAGTGTAAATTTCATGACAACTCACACAGTTGTCAGTGACAATAATAAATGTCAGTGACATACTGAGGCGCTGAACACTGAACCAGCGAGCTCTTCATTGTTGAACCTCTCAGCCTTTTTATTGTACTTTGCAGCGAATCGTCTGCATGGTGAGAATGGGTATGCTCTAATGGACATGACTATTTACGTGATGCAATTACAAGGAATAATGCCTAAGAATGACCCTGTGTAAGTGTTGAGTTAATGGGAACAGTCAGTTTTTGCTCCCTTTGTTTAGGTTCAGAGTTCTAAAGGGGCCCTGAAACACTTTTTCAAGTAACCATGGAATGAATTTACTGGAAGAGCTTCCTGCCTCACAAATTCAATGCCGCAATAATTTTAAGAATCCGTCCAGTGCGAGTGGCGTTGCAAAGACTTGTCGCATGCTGCAATTGCATTCTCTCGTCTTTCAGCCCGACGAAAGCACTGGAACTTAAGCAGGGAGGGATGGCAGGATCAGAAAAAATACGTCATCTGTGTTTTGTTGCCTTGAGCACTTTGGTTCTTCTTTTTTTTTCGAATGTGCGAATTTTTCAGTGTGATCGTGCACGCATGCAAGGGCAAGTCGCGGCCTCCCACTGCGATCTCTGTAAGGACAGAGCGCTCGATGTTCAAATCAGCCAATGGCTGATAGATGGGCTATCTATGAGTGATTTTTGAGCGTCTTCCGTCATTTGTCGAGAGAAGAGAAAGCAATTTTGAGCTGACTTTGATAGTTTATTGTGAATTCCAGGCCGCATGCTGTGCTACAACATTTGGCTTGCGTGTTGTCGGGAGCCTCTACTACCAATCGGTAGCGTTTTCTGACCATACTCAAAAAGTGTTGCAGAGCCCTTTAAGAGTTGCGAAACTGGATATTGTTCTTGCATTTGATGATGATAATATCACCCAAGCCGAAATTCCGAAATAGTTAAGATTGAATCCTGGCCAAACTACAGTCAACTTGCTGGGAAGCGTTGACCACACTCGACGATAGCTTGTGGATAGAGCTGCATGGCATCTCGCAAAAGAAGGAAGGCAAGCATTACGAGAGGCTCTAAAGTTGAAAATTAACTTTGGCGATGATTACAAAGCTTGTAGCTAAATAAAACAATTGAATAGTGTTTTGTGACAAAGTGTGATTGCTTTTCAGCCATTTTTTTAACTTTAAACTTGATCATCTCTATACCATGTTTTTTTTTATTACTTAGGTACCATTATGTTCTATGTATTTCAAGACAACCAGTTCAACATTTTTTTCTTATATTCTACATCAAAACACACAGCTACTGAAGCAGAATCAAAATTATGCATTTTACGGTATTGTGGTACAAATTTTCATAGATGCCAATTAACTCAAACTCAATAGTGAGGCACTAGTGGCAAAAATTTACCAAAAATTCAAAGATTATCCAAATTTTAATATATTTGATTCAGTTAAAAAGCAGAAAGTTTGAAAGAAAGTGATACACTTCAAAATCGTCCAAAGTATCTGAAGTCTCCTTGTGCGCGCATCGGCAAGCTGGCTCGGGCGGGTCGGGGAGCGCTTAGTATGCGAGCAAATGTGTATTTTTTTTAGTAAAACTGCCTATATATTCAGGGTGCAACTATGCGAGGGCACAAATTGTGGGAATAGATACGGTAATACATAATTTTTTTACTGCAAAGAGTCAACCCTGATCTGAGACGCTAAACATTTCGTCAATTATGAAAGATCACTGAATCAGCTGTGGAAGACCTATGTTGGAAGGATAAAATATTGTTGGCGTTTTTTCCAAGTTTGTGAGAATAAAAAAATACGCTTTGCAAAAGCATAACAGCTGATTTCATATTTGTGAGGACTCTGCCAAATAGTGAACAAGGTCAAATAGAATATTAAACAACATAAAGAAGATACGTCAACCAGGCTTGATTAGTGAATGCTGTCACGACTATATGTGGCACACAGAACTATATATGAATTATTAATAAAAGATCGCAGGTATTCAAAGCTGACTTGATATGCTCTACGAGAGCTTATAGGTGCTGTGAATATTTTATATGTAAGGCTGCACGATTTGTCTAGGTGTTTTAGGTGGTTTGTTAAATTATAGAAGTGCTAAGGGTGTTTTTCAATTGCGAATTTTGGTTACACCATGGGCACATGAACTTCTGACAGACCTATTTGTAATACAAGATGTGCAAGCTCACCTGTAGCCTCCAGCTATGGGTATTAATATATACTATAGGCCTGTGAAAAGAAGCATTTTGCCTCCCTCAAAACTGTGTGGTTGTGTATTATTAATGTACATTATTCCTAAAAAAATAAAGATCATGAACAAGAAATGTGATGTTTTTCATCTTTAATTTCTGAGAACCGCTACATGTATTTTGTGCAGTGTTTTTGTCTTACATACAGTGTGGTTTTATGGTGCACTATTAGCTTTGTACATTGCAACATGATATCTGTCGAGTGTGATTCACACTGGAGATTTATTGCTCGCACCTTGTTGACATATTTTGTTACTGCAAAGAAAAAGTTGCAACACAATGATTGCCAGTGTTCTCAGCTACTGCTCACTCAGAGTTAATAAACATGGACAAGATTATGAGATGGACTCCCTTTTACTATCAGCATCTTTTTACCACATCATCAGACTCCTTTTTTACTGTCACACTAAATGACATAAGCAGTGCTAGTGCATAATACAAATAGTTTTTTTCTATGCTTTGCTCACAGTGGTGTGAAATTCAAACCTCCTAGATGAACAGTTCATCGCTTCTTGTAGAGGCAAGGCATCAGTTTGAGCGTTGGAAGATGTGGATGTGCTGTTGTGCTCCTGGCCTTCTTGAAATCGAGCAATACAAACATCTTATTGGATTCATCCTGCAATAAAGTATTTGCATAAGTAGCACAACTGAGACTGAAAGAACATCACATGGCTGCAGTTTTTTAATCTGCTTATTATGGTTACTTAAAAAGCCAAACCTGCTTAGCATAACTTGGCACGACACATCATTTGTTTATGCTTTCAGTGATGCTACCGAGGTCTTCCGATTCGGAACAATTTTTAGAGCATAAAAACTTTAATTTTGAAGCACTTTGAAGCAGCTACATTTTCCATATTGGAGCACTTTGGAGCCGGCAATTTCAAATCTGGGAGCACTCCGAAGCAGCTAACGTCACATCCTGGAGTAAACCGGAGAAGTAAGTTACATTTATATTTTTCAAGGAAATGTATAATTACTTTGAGGATCTTGTGAAGAGCTAGAAATATTGATTCATTGCAGATCTCATGGAGCCAATGATCTTAGGAGCACTCCCTATTTCACTTAATGATGCGAAAATAATGCTGTCATTGTGTTGAGCATAGGCGTAGACAGGGTACCCTTTCAGATGGGGGGCAGGGGGCCCTAACGTTGACTTTAAGGGCATGATCGCTGATGCGTGCGCTATGTCGGCAGGCATTACAGACAGCTTGTATACCGTTCTACCTGTTGCACTCTCTGTGGCGTCCCACAAACACGGACTGAACCCCGGTCCTTCCAAGATGTTTACGCTCATTTCTTAAACCCACGCATTAAAAAAAAGAAAAAGAAAACCTTCAAGGTAACGAATAGGCATTCCGGAGTGGAGTACCTGGAAGGATTATTTCTACTGTTCTCGCGGGCCCCACCGCACAAACACAAGGACCGGGCGGCGCCTTGTTGTCTACAGACAGTGTGACAGTGTACGGTGGCAATAATCCGCGCGCACCCTTCAGATTTGTGGCATGGGGGAGCAGCAGAGCACCTTTTGTTGGTTCGGTGAATGCGACCCTGCAGCAGCGCCTCTGCCGGGCCCGGCCTGACTTTCCGTCAGCCTCCGTGGCTCCAGGGCTCATTACTGCGTTCTGCGCGGATGCCCCCCCGCGCCGAAGAATGGCGAAGAAGCGGGGGCTGCAGAGAATTTCGCGGGAGACACCAAGCTGCATGGAGACGTTGAGACTTGGTCTGGACAACGGGTCATCGGGTACCAGAAACCGGGGCAATCGGTTCGGCCGAAAACATTTCGGCACAACACTGGAAACTCCGGACGATGGCCATTACAGACGACGCTCTTTGTCGGGGCATTGAGACCATTGTTTGCCCGTAATTCACGTGTCTTCGGACAGCACGCCCATCTCTCTCTCTGAGGCTTGAGTTTGCACATAGTTACTTGCTTGGCTTTGCTTGGGAGAGGGTTTTCCACTGGTGCGAGCCGCTGGGACGGCCGTCGAAGATGACACACACCGACTGACCGAGAAATGTGTCATGTCAACAGTGGCAATCGGTTAGGTGCCACGGAGGGGCGAAGTTGGGTCCTACAAAAAGGGACTACGAGACGATGCGAGGAGAGTCGGAGATACGATGCGATGAGGTCGAGCTGGTAGAGAGACAGAATGGGAAAGGAAGATAACGATGTGAAGAGATAGCAATGAGAGTCGATGAGATGATGACTGAGGCAGAGATGATATGACGAGGAATGGAAGTTAGAGATGGGAAACGAGGAAGCGAGTGATTGCAGGACCTTATGAAAGAAGATTAAGATGGAAATCGCTGAGAGAGACAACGAAGACGATCAAGACTGACAACACGGACCATTCGTGAGACGAACTTTACGCACCCTATTTAGACGAGCTTTGCAGGCAGGGAAGTGGCGCGTTGAGACATTGCGTGGTTTTATAACTTCATCATTTGTGTCGTCGTGTGTTTTCTTTATATATGCATACCCTTGTATTGTTGTAGTTACTTTCTTTATGTGCCTCCCCTGTGTCGAACGTCGCGAGTGTCTAAATCATGTGTTATAATTTCGTGTAGTGGTTGATGTACGCGGGTATACGATTTTTGCAGTTAGTATTAAGTTAAATTATTCAGTAAACAGGAACAGGTCGTAGCGTCTCTTACTTCCCGGCACCAGCACAAATCCCTGTATGTGGGAAGTGATTGAGACACATAGCCAAGAGGGAACCATATACACAATGGGTTGAGTGGTCTTCCCTCTCTTTGGTAATCGGTGGCGTAGCGGGGGACGTCTCAAGTGGTGGCAGCGGTGGGATTACTGCTGGGTCAACGGTGCGAGATTACACCATCGTACTAGGGAAGGAGAGGCGGCGAAATGAACGAATAGGCTACCAAAATGACCGACAGAGACGACCCACTAGAAATGAGCGCGTTAATGTTAGCGGGCATGGTTCCATCGTTTACGGGAGGCGATACGGGTCCGGATATTGTGGCCTTCTTGAAAATTTTGGAGCAGGTTGGTCGCTTGGGTGGATGGCGGGATAGTGAGCTTGTCTGCATAGCACGATGCAAAATGGTAGGCGCGGCGCACGATTTTGCGTGGTGGGATGATGGCGTTGCAGCGGCTACAACTTTTTCTTAGTTCAAATATTTGGCCCTCAAGAGGTTCGATACGGAGCCACTTATCTCTAAAATGGAAAGGTTTTTAAACGTGAGGCAGAGGGCAGATGAGGAGGTGCGGGCATTTGCGAGTCGCTTGCGCATGCTCGGGACCGCCACCCTGGCGAGCCCCAATAATCAGAATCCGGTGAAAGCTTCACTGCGCCGTGAAATTCTAGCCGAACAATTGCTCTCGGAATTTTTATTAGGCCTGAGGGATCCGGTCCGCAGATTTGTTCTCTCTCAGGACCCGAAAACGTTTGACGAGGCCATTGCCATAGCGGTCAAGGAGGAACAGAATGAGAAAGTGTCGTGGAGCCATACGTTACCCGTTCGATATATAGAAGAGAAGACGGATATTCATGAGATGCATAGCCGCCTCGACCGCCTCGAAAAATTTGTGGAGAGCTTGGCAGTACGCAATAAGGTGAAACAGAATTGGCAGGAACCCCCAAGCAGCTCCCTTATACCGGCGGGTGCTATAATTGGGGCAGGTTTGGTCACTTTTGGTGAGAATGCCACTGGTACCGACGACGAAAGTGGAATTGGAGGGGTGGCAGCCGCATTCACAAAGGAAAGGAGATGGTGGGAAAATTCGAACCTGGAAACCTAGACGCAACTCCTCCTCATGACGTTGATGCACAGAGGTCAATCACGGTAGTAAATATTCGCGAGGAAACAAGCTCCGTAAAAACGAGTCGCGGTTCACTGTGTGCGGATCTGGTTAATGTTATTTCGGTGATCGAGGAGGATGTTCCGCCATTGAGCGAGTGTGTGTTTGGGGGGAACGCTCGCACGCCAATGCCACTGGGTGAAACAAAAGCTGTCGAGGTTGCTGGAGCGGATACAGACAGTTTAGCGGCGGTTTCTACCTCGAAGATCCCACGAGACGATGAGGCATTAGCAGTAGGAGTAGCAGATATGGAGTTGGATGAGAATGGGTTTTCTGAGGATGCAGTTGTCGGAGTCTTGGTCGACACGGTAGTAGACCGAACGTTAGAGAGAGTAGATGAGATTGAGAAATGCCTAGATCGCAACGGGGTGGTTTTTGTGGGGCCAAAGAGGAACTGCAGCACACTCGATGTACAGCGCACCAAGCCCAGGCATGCGCAGCGGTGGTCTTATCAGATAGCTTCGCATATGCCCCAGTCCGCGACTGAGTTGAGTAGGTTGAAGTTCGGACCATCCAACGAGGGTCCGGGACTCGGAGTCGGGGAAGAGGCCTGCATACAGGTAGACGCTGAGCGCTCGGAGATCGGCTAGGGTCATAAGAGTCCGCAATGTTGTGTGCCATTTTATGTTCTATGATTTCTGCTCGGTCATTGTGCTTGTTACTTTAGTGGAGACCTTGTATCGAAGTTTAAGTTTTTTTATTTTGTTTTGCTTTGGCTTGTACACTTGTTTTATTTTGTTGATTGTTTTGAAATGAGGCAGGTAGTTCGCTCGGTTATTGTGGATTTGTGTTGTTTGTGGCATCTGATGTTGATCACTAAGTGAGTGGTACCACCTGGGATCGATTAACACCTAATGGTGAGGGAAGGACATATAGTCAGTGAATATGAAGTTACCGACATCTCGCCGCTTGTCGGAAAGGAAGGTGAAAAAGGGACTGTTTTAAGAAACGAGAAAGTTTAGAAAGTTCAAATTGAAATGGGTTCATGGCATCTCCCCGCACGGAAGTGCCGCACCTCGTTAGGAGGCGGGGAGCGTCGTGATCGGTATTGATGTACAACGCCCAATGCCACAGTTGTATAGGGCAGCATATACGCTACTTTCTTAGCCCATCCGAACACGCAATTCACGTTGAAGGTCCCTTTCCTTCACTGACAGCTGCAGCAGAGGCCGGGCAGGAGATGGTACGCGAGGGTAATTCAGTGTTGCTGCCTGTATGACCTATGTTCTCCCGCCATCCCGCTTATCGTTTGGTTTGAGATGTTCGATAAGATCTTAAAATTTTGTGCATGTTCGGAATGAAAGCGTATTGAAATGTATGTATCCTCTGTTCGGTTGTGCCGAGAGTGGACAGTGCAGGCGAAGTGTGTGATGTGCTCGCATGATAGTGAACCTTCCGCACACATGACTGAACGTTGCGTGCCAAACCATCCGACGAGCAGCTGTGACCAGTGTGCGTTTTGTCCTTGCGTCATCCACGAGTTTCTGCGGTGATTCTGAAGGTTTCAAGTGTGTTATGCGCGGTAGAAGCACGGAATCAAAGTGCTTGGTGGTGGGTGATGATTCAGCGACAATCACAGATTGGTTCCTCTCAGCGACGCGCTGCCGCCAGGGCTGAATCACAAGTGTGCTGTGTTCACATACCGTACTCCTAAGACTGCCACAATGTCTCAATTTCGCTGCGCAACCCAAAGGCGCTATGCGCCCGCGTTTCTCGTGTTTGAATTTCCCCGCTGGGAAAATTCTTCTGCAAGATGAAGGGATTGTGACGTCCCCGCAAACACGGACTGAACC